GAGCACTACTCCCATTATGTATCTTCGTAATCTCTAATAAAGAGAGTGTTTAATATGAAATCCGAGCGAGAATAATATAATTAGATTGTATAGTTCATTCGAAAATTTTGATTTATCCTATATAAATTGTGAATAAAAATAGGGGCTAATTTAAAGCTTATATACTTATCACAATTGGACATTCTAAGATGACCTAAATAGAAGATTTAACAGATGTAATTTAATGATATAGTTATTTCTTTTAATTTGTCTCACGGAATCAATTTTTGCATTACTGCATCAGCTAATTTTGAAACCTAAAAGCAGGTTTGGATTTAAAAGAACTATCGTGATTATATTATGGTTGATTGATATCAACTCATAACATGGAACGAAGGAACATTTATTTAAGAATTCGTTGCTATTGTGTCTTCAACGATTCTCATTCATAGACTCTTAGTTTAATTAATAGTCCAGTTATTGGTATTTGTCAAAATATTTAAAGCTTTAAATCTCGAATAAAATTTTATTAAAATAGCATAAAGTTATAATTAATATTTCTGAACACTTACAATACTAATATTCTTCAAAGCGTAAAAATACTATTTTTTGAGATATATAATATGAATATATAGTATCTGGATATAACTATTTTCGTCCCAGTATAATGATCTATGAGTCAGCACTTTATAGTATTTTCAAATTTATTATGGACAGGAACTTAAAAGATAGTGCATTAATTTCTTATTATACATCCACATTACATATTAACACATATGTTCTATTTTTAAAAAAAGGAGCACAAGCGAGAATTGCTACGTACGAAGATAAGTATTAAGTATTAAGCATATAATGAACGCTATTCATATATCTATCTTTTGAGATTAACTACATACGTACGTACATACCATTCTATAGGCAATGTGTGATGTACAGTACAATAAATCAAATTTCTGTTACATCTAAAAATTTATTCAAAATAGTGACAAGTTTTACTGTTGTGACCAGTAACTTATATCTTCATACAATGTCGAGCTAGAGTAAACAAATATTGAATATTAAATTTTATAAAATAACTACAGTATTTAATAATGGAAACAACAGCTTTAAATCATACATTGTTACTATTTTGATTTTCATCATCCCTCACCTCTTCTTGGTTCTCTTCCTCTCTTTCGTTTTCATCTTCATTAAATTCATCATCCCTCACCTCTTCTTGGTTCTCTTCCTCCCTTTCGTTTTCATCTTCATTAAATTTATCTTCCATTCTTTTGATTCTATCACCAAGGGTGCGCAGGAAGTACTGCATTGATGATAAGAAGATAGGTGGGTTAGTCATGGCAGAAAAATGTCACGGTGACGTGATCGGTGACCACTTCCGAACCTGATAATACAAATTACGTATTACATTGAAATAATTATTACAATATTAGTCTTTCATATGTATACTAATAATCATTTTGACATAATACGTAATTTGTATTATCAGAGTCGGAAGTGGTCCCGATCACGTCACCGTGACATTTTTCTGCCATGACTAACCCACCCACCTTAAGAAGATCGTTTAATCCAGGTATATGGTTGTAACTAGGGATGGCAACGTCGGTTACAGTTTATAACCGCCGGTTATTGCTTAATGACCGACCGACCATGGTTATAACCGATGGTTAATTACGGTCGATTAACTAGCTAGCAACCTTTTCATAATAATTTTATTATCGATGAGGTTCTTCTGACAAACCGGTATCGATTACGGTTATGATCGGTCATAACCGTAACTGTTTTAAGTTGATAAAAATAACAGATATAATATAAAATATTACTGGCCTTAGACGATCTCCAAATAATTATATATACTTATGAATAAATTACTATACTTACGCCCTGATAATATTTACATGAATGAATAAAGTAGTATTCTATTAATAATGAAATGCATATATCATTTTATAAATACTTACCTTCTGGTAGTTTAACATAACAGAGAAATAATATTTTAATGTCAAATTCTATTGATAATAAAATGCGTGCATCGTTTTATAAATACTTACGTCCTGGTGGTTAACAAGTGAGTGAAAGAACAGAAAAAATTATATTTTAATGTAAAATTCTATTGATAATAAAATGCATGCATTGTTTTATAAACACTTACCAGCTGGTAGTTTAACACATGAGTGAAAGAACAGAGAAATAATATTTTATGTCAAATTCTATTGATAATAAAATGTGTGCATTGTTTTATAAACACTTACCAGCTGGTAGTTTAAAACCTGAGCGAAAGAACAGAAAATAATATTTTAATTAATGTCAAATTCTATTGATCAAATGCATGCATCGTTTTATAAATACTTACTCCCTGGTAGTTTAACACAAGAGTGAAAGAACAGAGAAATATTATTTTGATATCAAATTCTATTGATAATAAAATGCGTGCATCATTTTATAAATACTTACTCCCTGGTAGTTTAACACATGGGTGAAAGAACATGGAAATAATATTTTAATGTCAAATTCTATTGATAATAAAATGCGTGCATCGTTTTATAATTACTTACCAACTGATAGTTTAGCACGTGAATGAAATAACAGAGAAATATATTTTAATGTCAAATTCTATTATTTATAAAATGCATACATCGTTTTATAAATACTTACAAACTGGTAGATTAACATGTAAGTGAAAGAATAGAGAAATAATATAATAATGTCTAATTCTATTGATGATAAAATGAATTGTTTTATAAATACTTACAAGCTGGTAGTTTACAAGTAAGTGAGTGAGTGAAAGAACCGAGAAATAATATTTAACGTCATTCTATTGATAATTGCGTGATGCATCATTTTCTAATTACTTACCAACTGGTTTAACACGTGAATAAAAAAACAGAGAAATTATATTTTAATGTCAAATACTATAGTTAATAAAAAAATATGTACTGTACATCGTTTTATACGGTCCCGATCAGCTCACCGACAGCCATTTTACCGAATGCTCATTTAGCCGACATCACATAAAGTTAGGGTTAAGCATTTGATTAGTAGCATGTATATATTTTTACTAAATTTCACCTGGCGTGATGTCGGTTAAATGTTCTGTCTGCGAAATTATTGTCGGTGAAATAATACGGTCCCCGTTTTATAAATACTTACAAACTGTAGTTTATCACATGAGTGAAAGAAAGGAGAAATAATATTCTAATGTCAAATTTATTGAGAATCAAATACATGCATTTTTTTATAGATACTTACTCACTGGAACAGACGAATAATACTTTAATGAAAAATTATAATATAATTTATTATGATGGAAAATTATACTTACAACTTTGTAGTTTAACATTTAGGTGGGTGAGATAAAATTCAATGAGAAATTCTTTGATAAACAAATTTTATACTTACCCAGTTAAACCTGCGACAGTTGATAATAATCCAAATAATATAAGAGATACTAAATAAATTGGTTCTGAATGTACACTAAAGATAAGAATCCAAAACACTGGAATAATTAGCACCGGAAACAATATTAAAAATGTAACAATAATCAAATATAATCCTTTAGGATTTTCACATTCATCGTCACATAATTGTCTGCGCTTAATTATTGAATAAATAATTGCAATAACAGCGCAAACTACGTGTAATGTCATGTTTATAATTGAAAATATCTTTATATATAAAGTGTCTCCATAAGTAAAGGAAACTATTAGTGGAATCGCCCAAGTAATCATATTATATAATATATCGTCTAATAATGGCAACAAATAATTTTTAATAGATCCCTCTTTATTTTTGGCATTAAGTAGAATGACAAAAGTGACTGGAAATAATGTATTAAGGAGAGCATCATATAAATCTTGCTGAGGTGAATAAAATTTATCTATAATAGATGACATTGCAAGTTGAAAAAATGAAATGAAAATAATTTCCCCAAAAATAAAGTTCATGAGAAGGCTGTTCATGGTCAACATTACCAGGAACAGAGCGCAACAAAGAGTATTGTTTACCTGCAAGTTAAGTGCAGTCTCTCTTTTGCATCTGATTGGATGGTCCTTGTGCGCGATTTAATCTTGGAATTTCTATATTTGTGTGTTATACGTATGAGGCTTTTTTGTACATATCAAGGAACGGAGTGCAACTAAGAGTATGGCAGGTTAGTGATGTGTCAATTTCGTATCGGATTAGTTAGTTCCTTCTCGTAATTTCATCTTCGGAATTCTATATTTGTACAATCTATGAGACTTTTATCATTGACGTATGCATGAGTTAAAATATAGAAAGAAATATAGATTGATAAAAAGATGCATTTGGTCATTGCGTGTTCGAAAAAATTGTCGATGTTTACGAAAAGCATTGTACGCATGTGACGAATTTATTACTAATTGGAAGCATCTGGACAATAGTGCCAGATATTAAACTTTATTAGATAATTTCATTTGAAATATGCAGTATACATCAATGCGATCGATGTACCAGAAATAGAAACTATGATTGCGCCGGGTGTCATCGCCATCAGCCCAATTCGTGATGTGTAGTGTTAGTCGGTGGTCTTCCACACCGCATTAAGCAGGCTGACTTGACGTGAAGTTTTGAAAATTTTACACATAATGGCAGAATTCTGCACGGGAATGGGTGGGTTTGGGTGCGAATCTCGCTTCTTGTTTATGGTGTGATGTTTTTCTGCCTATCTGAACAAGCGATTAAGTTGTATATACGTATCTGAATGCATGTGCTTTCTCATGAGACACTATCTTATCTGTCCGCTTTGGTCAAATTGACCATTAATATTTGTTTGAATCTGGTGGTCCTGCTAGCAGGGTTACAGTGCACTGGTATATCCCTGCTTAGTTATCTTTCATTATTGTGACTTTCCGTCAACTTGAATAGTCACAGCTTTGGAACTTGTAATACATGCAATTCATATATTGTTTTCACATGTTTTACATATCCGCCAATTTGCAGAATTGGACTTTATAATGATAATAGGTCCTTAGAATATTTGCTGAACCGTAAATTTGTAAATCAGTCAAATTCTGAAATTATTTAAATTTGAGCCCCCAAATTAATTTGATCAGTTAGTCAGATCAGAAGATTAAAATTTAGCCTCAAGTAAACTCTAACTGGTCTTTAACTTTTTCAGTAACTCTATGAGCTTACCCTAACCGCTAACAAATCAATCACATGAATTTGCAGTACTCTGTAGAATTTTCAGGATCGGATGCCGGTTAGGGTTATATGAGCATAGCGGGCTTTATTATGATTGGTTGATTTTGAAGATCATCTCATCATATTAAAGTCTTATTAAAGAAACGATGCATGCATTTTATTATCAATAGAATTTGACATTACATAATATTTTCTCATGTGTTAAACTACCAGAAAGTAAGCATTTATAAAACGATGCATGCATTTCATTATCAATAGAATATTACTTTATTAATTATTAATTCATGTAAATATTATCAGGGCGTAATTTATTCATAAGTATATATAATTATTTGGAGATCGTCTAAGGCCAGTAATATTTTATATCCGTTATATTTATCAACTTAAAAATGCGTACCATATTTGTGGCATTCCCATAACTAATCAATCAACAACTTTGATATAATAGAAATGATATTGTAGCAAAAATTTTTAATTAATAACTAGTTTCTATAGTAAAGTTGTGTATTTGCGCTTTTATTTATACTCTGAAATTTTTATGCTATACATTAGAAGAAATCATGAGGCTACCAAATTTGTGCTATGATTATGTTATAACAAGGAATGGCAACAGTTACGGTTATGACCGTAACTGATACCGGTTTGTCAGAGGAACCTCACCAATAATAAAATTATTATGAAAAGGTTGCTAGCTGTAATTAGCCATCATTAAGCAATAACCGACGGTTATAAACTATAACCGACGTTGCCATCCCTCAACCATATACGTATCTGGATTAAACGATCTTCTTATCATCAACAGAATTCTTCATTAATATTATTTCTTTGTTCATTTGCTTACATGTTATTATTAGTGATTTTTATATCATTCTATGCACCAAATATTTTACAAACATTATTTATCCTGATAAAATGGCCAATTAATTTTTACTTTGTTAAAGCATGCATATTTATACTAATTCTATTCTTAACAAGGAATGTATCTTACTATACTGACGAAGAGACTGATGTGACTTATAAACATTTTCTGGCTACATCAACAGCAATAACGCAGTACTTCCTGTGCACCTTTCGTGATAGAATCAAAAGAATGGAAGATAAATT